CGTTTGGCAGATAACTGCTCGCCGTTTAACTAGCCATTCGTCACTTTCAGCATACCCTCGACGACCGCGCTTTTACTGTCTACACTGACCACAAGCCCCTCATCTTCGCCTTCAACACTGCTTGCGACAATATTCACCACGGGAAACAAGACACCTAGACGTTTTCATGCAGTTCACTGCTGACGTACGTCATGGCTCAAGTGAGGACATTTCTGTTGACCACGCCGTTTCGCGTGTCAACCCCACTCCTTAGTCTTCGCCTACAGACAACCTTGACGCCGTGGCATCGGCTTCGACTCGGGATGAAGACATACAATGAACTTTGCAGCCCAATTTAATGCATGTGCAACCTGCTTCTCTCCAAACCACGGGAGGAACCACTCGCTGTGACACTTCCACATGTTATCCTAGACCCCTCGTGCACGTCTGCTTCAGACACACCGACTTTGACACACTACAATCGTTATCACATCCCTGTATCTTTGAAAATGGTTACCGAACGTTTCATTTGGCCATGCGTAAACAAAGACCTTCGTACTTGGGCTGGCTCCTGCCTTTAATGCCAGCGCTCCAAAATACATCGTCAAACCCCCAGTCCTCTTTGTTCGTTTCCTGCCCCGGACTCTCGGTTCTCGCAAGGTCAATTGCTTCCCTTGCTTCCTTAACGCGGATTCGTATACATTCTTACATGTGTCGACCGCTTCACCAGATGTCAAATAGCTATTTCTGTAACAGATTACGCAGCTGCGACTTCTATCCGAGCCTACCTAGGTCGGTGCTTCTCGCACCACGGATGCATATCCATCATTACAACTGACCGAGGAACGCCTTGCGAATCTTCACATTTCGACACGTTCTGCAGCCTTTTAGGCAGTCGCCGCATTCATACCACTGTGTATCACCCAGCCGCCGACGGGTTAGTTGAACGCTTCCATAGACTGCTTAAGTCTCGCTCTGGGTCTCCTCCGACCGTAGCAAGAGAGTCGGTTTCGCATCAAGGTTTAGGCATTCGCAGCAGCCTCAAAGCTGATTTGCAATGTGCCCCAGCAGAGCTGGTTTACGGCACAACGCTGAAGTTGCCAAGAGAATTCGTTTCACCTCCCGCATCGTCGGGTATGCCTCCGCCTAACTTTGCGTCCTACCTAGCTCAACGCATGCGAGCTTGGCGCCCGACTCCGGCCATTGAGCAGACTAGAGTTGTATATATGCACAGCGGACTCTCTACCTGCACTCATGTCTACCTCCACACCGACGCAATGCGGCGCTTTCTCCAGCGTCGCTACACTGACTCTTTCAGAGTCCTGCAACGTACTACGAAACATTTCACTATAGACCAGAATGGTCACCAAACAACGGCGTCCATCGGCGACTTCCAAGTATATTCCTTCGACAAATCACTTGCACTCCATCCTAATACTATCACACATGAACCCGTACCTGCGGGGACTTCTCGAGCACTGTTTAACCCGGAACCCTCCGTTCCCCAACCCTCAACCTACCCCGCCTCAACCCCAGGCAACCGACCGACGCGGTAGACTGGTCAAATGTTCGGTTCGTTTTTCAGATTTTGTAAACGTATGTTATTTCCATTCACACGTCTGTTTCGTTGTTAGTGGTAACCGTGCGTCTCAGCCACAAACGTTCTGCAAAATCGACAAGAAACCAAAATATTTTGAAAAGTTAAAAAGCATATTTGCTTTTATCCTGCATGCCATGTAACCTCTTCGGCATCAAGCTACTTCTCCCGACCCTCGCCCATCCCCTCTGAGTTCTATCTTCTAGAAACACAACGCCGGAACTGCCAAGGTAACCCTCGAGTGACTCGCCAATGGGATCAACGCAACCTTCGAGTGACTCGCCAGCCGATCCAAAGCCCCCTTTCTGCCCCAAGGAAAAGTCAGTCGCCATAGGCCGCAGACAGACATGAAAGAAGTGGGCCCCAAACCCCTGACTAGGCGTTGCCGACGATGAAACCAAATTTCTTCGTGGGGCGAAGACGCCCGGATTTCTTCGTGGGACGAGGACCGTGTACTGGAGTGCTGGGGTAGTGGCATCTTCCAAGCGAACGGTCTGGCCTGCAGTGGTGGGAAAGTCTTATCAGCCTTTCTTCTGGACCAGCCACTTTTGCAGTCTGACCAGCTCGCCCCGACGGCAAACCGAAAATGCACTCTGATCCACATGATCCTCATAAGTAATTAATAACCAAAGCCTAGAACCAACGAACCCTGCTAAACACCCGATCTTAGAAGCCCTCGTTCAAGCCCATTCAACTATTCGCACCCATCCTCACCTTCCGCTTCCCCCCACTAACGGCTTCATCGAAGGCTTCCATCCATCAGCCTACTAAGGGGAGGACCTTTTAGTGTACCGGAAATGACGTACATGTAGTGTTTTGCAGCAATGGATTTTTCCGTTGTTTTAATTTTCAAAACGTCCACTAGTTTTACTGACGGCACTTCCGTTGACGTAAGTTGCTTTGGTAAGTACCTTGCTTCACAGGTTCTCGCTCTGATTGATTCGCTTCCTGTGGTTGTAGCCATCACAGTACACCTTGGGTTTAGTCGCCTCCCACTTCTATACTATCCCGTAGTTGACAAGTCCCATACATGTTATTGATTACCGAATGGTATCTTCTGCGTCACCCAACACTCCTGCGTAACTCGTGAGTTGATCGGTCGCTTTGTCAATGTTTGTGATCTACCCCACTAGACCTACGTTTCCCTTGGGCTCTTTCCCGGCTTACTGGGTATGCACTGTGTGTTAATTGTCATAGCATTAAAGTACTTGGCCAAATGTAACAGGGTGCCGATATTTACTTTTATCAAGCGTCTTATTTTTACACACATCAGTTCTTGTAACGCAGTGGCCTCGAAGCTTTTGACCGATACACGTCACCCCCTACATACTGTCTTGGCTTAATGTCCATCAAGTTCATTCGAACGGATGCCCCGACGCGCTCTCTTTGCTTGCAGTAGACCATCATAATCATCATTATACACGTTAGATAGAAGTGGGAAACACCTCAGCTACGTTGCCACAATATATATAAGAAAAAAAGGGGAAAATGCCACTGGTGTAAGCCGGCTGAGCTTCCCGTAACGGACGGATATCTTTCCGTTGAGCTACCAGTCGGCTACTGTGTAGTAAAAAATTACTATGCAAAATTTTATAAGGCTAAATAGTGAGCTTGTACTGGGAGGGGAAGCTAAGGCGGATGGGGTGGGACAAAGAAATTCAAAGCACGAACGCCACTGAGGTTGGCTTCTGGCCGTAACAGCAAATGTGTCCAGCCAAACGTGTTCATCGTCTTTCGGACCCCAACCAGGGGGCCGAGCAGTTCCAACCGAGGCCAGCTCCGAGGTGAGGGTCTTCATTCTTATCGATCACTCATCTCTTGGCCACCCCTCCTCTTCTTACATCCACATGCCCGGTGAGCAAACAACGCAAGTCGCGGAAGTCGGTGGACGGGCATGCGCAACACGTGGCCGAGCCATCGGATCCTGGTGCACGAAATGACGATGTTGAGCATTTCATTTCCATTTCCTGTGTCCTGCACAAAGCGTCGAATACGCTGGTTGCTTATGCGGTGTTCCCACCACATATGAGCTAAATTGTGAAAGCACTGGTGGTCGAAGGTAACTAGCCTCCTCAGGTCCGCTGCTCTAAGGGGCCAGGGTTCACAATCGTACAGTAGGGTCGAGGGTACCGCTGCTTTTTACACTCCACTCTTCAAGGCAAAAGTGATGTCCCGCTGGCGCCATAAGTGGCGAAGGTTGGCAAGAACGCCTCGAGCTTTTGCCATAAGGTTCGTGATCTCAACTTCTAACCCACGGGCGCTGATAAAACTTTCCAGGTTGTTAAATTTTGCACGCCTTCTAGCTGATCCCCAACAAGCGTCAGCGTAGGAGGCGGTCCAGACCAATGTTGGTGGAACGCTTTGCACTTCGTTGTTGTGAAACATAGCCCGAAGTGAATGACAGCCAGTGCTAATCCCTTCAGTGCCGCTTGGCTGGTTTATGAGCTCTCACAGATTTGGGCAATGTCATCTGCATATTTCAAGTCCAGTAATCGTTCTTCTAGGAACAGATCCGCACCTTCTAAGTCGTGTCCTGTAAACGCGATTTACTTGACTTTGTCAATAGCGAACTTGAAGAGGAAAGGAGAGGAAAAAAGATATCAAAGGGCGACGACAGTTTGACGTAAGCTCTCACTCTGCTCGAGCTAAGCGCGTATAATGCTCAGATAATAGTTACATATTTCTCAGGTACACTTTTCCTGAGTAGTTAGTCACAAAGTGCATTTCTGTCCACCGAATCGAATGCACCTTTGATACCTAGGAATCCGAAAACGGTAGGCCGACAATGTATGTGACGGTGCTCCAACAACTGACGCGAAGTTAAGTGGTAGTCAATGCATCCACGACCTCGACGAAACCCGGCATGCTCATCACGAATCTGGCTTTCACGAGTGTCAGTCAGTCTGTGAAGGAGGACAGAGACAAGCAGTTTGGAGGAAGTGGAGATCATACTGCTTCCTCTATGGCTGCTGCATTCCGATAGTGAGCCTGTCTTGAGAATTGGGACTATGACGATGCGGCTCCGGTTGGTGGGGACCATTTTCTGCTCCCACAGTTTCACTAGTGACGTGTACAACATCCACAAGAGCAGGTCCTCCGAATTTAAAGTAGGCTTGTGGAAGATCATCTGCTCCCATGGCTTTACTTAACTTCAACCGTCCGATTTGACGTTCTACTCCTGAACGAGAGGGTGGATGCAAAGGGACAGCCCAGCGAGCAGAGTGACCAGTGGCCGGCGAGAAATCCAACCATTTCGGCCGAGTATATTTCCTTCCAAAGTGCTCAGTCCAACGCTCCAAGCGTTTCGACAAGTTGTGGATAGGCTGTCCACTCGCGTCAAGTATAGCTTCACTAACACAAGGTCTCTCGCTGCCCGATTCCCGTATCAGCCAGCATAACTAACGATGGTTACCAAGGGCAGCAGTTACTTCCTTCTTTGACGCTCGTAGAGACTACCAGATTCCCAGTCTCTCTTCAGGCTAGCACGGAGTTTTGCCCGGAGCTCTTTGCGAGTTTCATTGTGTTCGTTTCCAGCCGGAATATGCCGGCGAGCATCTATAAGTTCCAGAGACTGTGAAGCGACCCAATGTCCAGGTTGGCGATTGGACTTAGCATATGAGGAGTTTCCTGCTGCTACTATGATCTGGTGAATATGACACCAGTGAGCATCAATTGCATCCAGTGAGCGTTTATCCAACTCGCATGACAGCGTAATTTGATAGGCATTCAAAACAGCTGACTTCACCAATTGGGCGGTGTTAATGCGCACACAGCAGCTTCGTGGACGCCCGCCAAATCTCATCCGCAGGTCAGCACATACAAGTGCATGGTCGGTGTCTACACATGTGCTCCAAATCGAGCTAGATATTTGGACGCAGCCACCCAAGCTGTAACTGATTGCAATGTGCTCGATTTGCGTCCATAGCTGGTTCGAGGCCGGTGGGTGCCACGTCACGCTCCGGCAGGTGCTGTGTCGGAAATCAGTGCTCGCAAGGAATAAGCGAGCGTCCTCACACAAATGAAGTAACCGTTCACCGTTATCATTATAGGGCCTTCAACATGTTGACCGCCCAGGTGCAGTTCCTCAGTGGATAATTGCCCAACTTGAGCGTTACGACCTTCAGCTAGCACTACAGTGTTCGAGCTGCTTCTGTGGCTAAGGAGCTCGTTCAGTTGACGATAGAAGTCATCTTCTACTGAGTCATCGCTAGAGTTTGTCGGTGCATAGTCAGCGGTAATGAATAGACACCGGTTAGTCCTACGTGATCTCAAAGCTTTGAACGATCCAGCCAATCGCAGCCCACACGTCCGGCTACTGGTTTGGATCCAATCAACCAGAGTAGTTTCAGCCCGGGCACTTAGGGCAATACCAACACCGGCTTGGCCGGTGCTCGAAGCTGCATCGTCACCGGATAGGTGCAATGAGAAAATGCTGCTAGAGTCACCTAAAGGGTCTAGCAGAGTCAGCACTGAGCCCTAGTCTTGCAAACGGGTCTCCGATAGGCAGCAGATATCGATCTAGGGGTCTCTAAGTTTCGAGCAAGTGCTGCTTTTTGACCGAGTTGTAGCAATATGCGTACATTGAGGCATGCCTGTCTGTAGTATGACGAGGACTCCAAATTAAAGCTGATGAACTGGGCTTGACCGCTTGCTTGGACATGGGTCTGTTGACAGGGCAGGAATGACGCTCCACGTTCACATGTGAGTTAAAGCTAAAAGACAAGCGACTATTGAAGCTAGGTGGGGGAGGGCAAGTATTGGGAGTTACAAACTAAGGGTACATTGAAGCTGAAACTGGACGATAAGGGTGAAAAGCGTAAAAGGGGGAGTAAGAAGATAGGAAGGTTTGAGTAGTAGAATCCCAACCCTTATCCACTCTGCTCGATGCACCAGATGGGGCACCGTAGTTTGTCTTCTGCGGCGGCCAGAGTATCAGAAAATTGTTTGAGAAAAATCTCAAACGGTTGCGTGGGCAGGATGCTGTCAGGTTGCTCAGGTTTAGGCAGGAGAACTATCAGATTGTCCACCAAAGCCTTTGATTCAAAAACCTGGTCGCAAGGCAGCAGGTTTGACGTTAGGCTACAAGGAGTCCGTTTTAAGGAATAAGAAGCCACCTTCATTCCAATCCCAATCTGAAGGACCAGGAGACTGAGTTTGTCTGGCTTCTAACCATTGACCAAACTAGTATGACTGGCTCTGAAGGTGCAATAAAGCACCCCCCAGCATAGCTCAATGGATAACTGAGGCACACAAAACATCGCACCATGGTAAGGTCCAGCCTCATTGCGATGGACAAAGCAGGATCAGACGGGAAGAAATCACGCGGGGTCAAACTATCACGTGGCGACAAACGAGTTAAGCGCTGACTTCCAATTTGGCTGTTGTAGATCCCGTGCGTCTTCTGGGCTGGGGAACAAAGATGAGGAACACCGCTGGCTGTACCGCTTGGCTGTACCCACGGACGCCGCGGAATTTTCTGCTACCACGCGCTGGATCCTGCTTTTTCTCTGGAATTACTGTATTTTACGTGTGTTGCTGTGTTAGTTGTGCACCAAACTTTTTAGTTTCGTGCGTTCGTCAATCCGTGAAAGTTTCGTGGAATTCCGCTTGATATCTTCGGAGATCTCAGTGATTTACGGCTGTGCCCGTCATTGTGGAATTTGTGATCGACATCTTGCTTGTCCTCGTGCTTGAAAAAATACAACAACTATGCCGAATATCATGCAACGACGTATCTGCTCTTCAGCTAATTGCAGCATAGCCCTTGAAATGGGGATAACGTGCCGAAACTGCAGTGCCTCGTTCCACCCGAGCTGTATAGTAAAGTCCGCCCAAGAAGCAAGGCAAATAAACAAGGCAGCCGACGCATTTTGGTTTTGTCCAACTTGCCAGTTAACTCCAGTGGTCGGTTGTTTATGTGCACTCATGGAAAGGTGCGATACTTTGAATGCGACAATCGCTTATTTGTTGAACGCCAGGCTTGCACCACCGGCCGCGAATATGGCCATGGTTGTACCACAGTCGGTCAAAGAAAGCTCCACCTCGAGGCCGAAAATAGGGCTAGACGCTCAAGCCGCGTTGCAGCCTCAGTTTCTCCAAACCCCCTGCCTCACTCAACTTCCAAACGCGGACGAACATCCAGAGTACTGATGTCCACACCTTTGAGTCACACGCCCCACCTCCATTCAACAGCCACCGCGGAAGCTCCGGGGCGAACCTCTTCCGCCGTAGAGAAAAGTCGAGCGTCGTACGCCTCAGTCACCTCCATGCATACACCGGCTAAATTACTTCCGATCTCGGTGGCCTCACCAAGCAACAGTAAGTTGACCAGACTCCAACAACCAAACAATCCGTTTAACACCGTATCTGTAAGTCATGGCAAATCTGCATCCAACGCAAGGAGCCAAGGCGCGTTAACCGTTGTGTGTACAAATGTTCCTGAATCACAGGCGAGTACAATAAAGGGGAAGCTGTTGGATGATCGTAATCAGTGGAAGTCTATATGTACTGCGATTGGCATTTCCGTTGAACCTGCAATGCTGAGGCGAGTCACACGTCATCCAAATTCAGCGCACTTCGGTGAACCCCGACTTCTCCGGGTGACACTAAACTCCACCAAGGACACAGAGGCGGTCCTACTATCGTCCAACAGGCTTCGTCATTCATCACTCGAGGCGCGCATACTTCCTGATATCCCCTGGAACGAACGTCCGAAAAAGATGAGCAACCGTGAGGAAGTTCGTAAAGCCGAGGCGAAACGGACGATAATTGTGTACGGGGTTCCTGAGCTCCAAAACTCAACCTCTGATGCAGCGGATGCACATGACCAGGAGCAATGGAGTTACATCCGCCACGAAATCTCCCTCAATAATATCATCGCTAAGCGGTTGACCAGGATTCCATTTTCACCCAACTACAAAGGGAACGGTCCCAGACTTATGAAGGTGGTGCTTCAATCTGAGTTTATGTTACCGCTCGCCTTGGAAAACTGGTCCAAATTCAGCATGAAGCTGCCAGCGGAAATTCGATTAAAGGCATCAGGTACGGTGCCACGGATTACCAACGACTCACGGGGGGCGATCAAATTGTTGAACCATCCACTCATGCAACTTTGTGAAGGCATAGATTTATCGACAACCACAATATCCCATGAAACACGGCTGAACACGGGGGACCAGCAGGGCCCGGAAGGCCGCGATCAGTCGTCTAACCGAAAGCAAACTCAAAGGCAAACGCCACCACAAAAAAACGGTTAATGGCCGACCCGTTAACGGTCGGCACAAACTCCATTCCTACCACAACCTGTGCTAGCTCACTCTTGGTTACAAACGCACTATCCTGCATGTATACTAATGCACAAGGCCTCATAAGTAAGTTGGTAGAACTCCGTCACCGTTTAGCTTCGGAGCCTCGAGACATCATAATGATCGCCGAAACCTGGCTGAGCGGAGAAATCACAGACGCTGAGATCGCCATACCGGGTATGTCACTTCTCCGGAACGACAGAACGGGCAAGGACGGTGGCGTGCTCATTTATTTCCGAACGAATCTTCGTTGTGAGCTCATAGACGATCCCCAGACTTGTGTCACCGACGTCCTTTGGTGCAAACTGTGGTTGGAACGCAACGACGTATGCCTTCTCTCTGTGGTTTACCGACCACCGAAATCCACTCCGGAAAGGGACAACAGACTTATCTCCGCTTTTCGCTCCGTGCTTAACCAGAAGTACAGCCACATCCTCGTTGCAGGAGATTTCAACACCCATGACTTGGAAAATCCAGCATCCGAGACAGAAGTGTTCAAGGCATATTTGCAAGAGCTACTCTCTAGCACCTTCTTGTATAACCACGTCACCGTTCCAACTAGGTTCAGAACAGGAAACAAGCCATCGATATTAGATCTAGTGCTCACTAACGAAGAGCTCATGGTCGATGGACTAAAGGTGTGCAGTCCTTTGGGCCGTAGCGATCACGTGACTTTGCAGTTCGATTACATCTGCTAAGCCGAATATCCAGCTGCGGAGCTCGAAACGAGGCAATCTGTTACCCATTACCACGTTCTGTCTGCTCTAGTTGAGAATACCAGTTGGACGTTTCTAGCTAACTGCACCCCAGAACTAGCCTGGGAGACATTTGCGAACACCATCACGTCACTAGTCATAGAAGCCTCAACACCAAAAGTTTCCCAACATCCCCGCACAGCGAAACCATTCTTGTGAAGCTGGACGCGAAACTGCATCACTCTAAGGGATCGGGCATGGCGCATGTATAAAAGCAACCCCAGCGCAGAAAACTGGACGGAATACGTTTCGCATCGCAACTACTGTGTGCTTTTGGTTCGCGAAGACAAGAGAACGCATCAGCAGGAGCTAGCCAAACGATTCTGTTCGAACAAAAAGCTTCTTTACAAACATGTGAATGGACTTTGCAAGGTGCAACGGGGAATCCCACCACTTAATACGACCAATGGGTATACACATACTGCGAAGGAGGCGGCCAACGCATAACGAGCCCAGTACTCCCCAATCTTCCAAGGTGTACAAGCCTCGAGGTATATTCCGCCAATAGTTACCCCACCGTCCGTTTTATCCAACGTCACGTTCACTGCAGAAATGGTGCTGCAAAAGCTGCTATTCTTGCGTCCACACAGCTCTCCCGGGGCCGATAACATTCACCCGAAAACATTACAGGTAGCTGCCATCCACTTGGCCGAACCACTAGCTGCATTTTTTCAGCGCTGTTTCGATGAGAACATCGTACCTTCGAGGTGGAAACAAGGTATAATAACGCACATATACAAAGC